TTAGGTTAGGTTAGGTTTGCTTCTTCCGCTCCTCCTCCTTTAGTCGAGTCAACAGGGGGTAAAGTAGAGACAATTTCTGAGGAAACTTTCTGATATACTATTCCTTTGTATTTTTAATCGCTGAGTCCGAATTTCATATTTGCGAAAATATCTGAGGCGAGGCAAAGCCGCCATCTTGAAAAAATGGCAGGAATTTTCGTTTTTCGGCTTAAAAAACGGAAATAACTCGTATATTATGGTAATTACGGCAAGAGTAGTTATTTTCCAAATTCAACTACCATAAATTTCCATCAAAATGAGTCCAAGATTGTTAAAACGAAACGTTCAAATGATATGGGGGATTGAGGGAAGAAAAATGAAGTAAATAAATAAATAAATAAACAAATAAATAAATAAATAAATAAATAAATAAATAAATAAATAAATAAATAAATAAATAAATAAATAAATAAATAAATAAATAAATAAATAAATAAATAAATAAATAAATAAATAAATAAATAAATAAATAAATAAATAAATAAATAAATAAATAAATAAATGGATAAATAAGTAAATAGATAATTAAATAAACAGACGTCCGGGAATTGGCACGAGAAAATGATTAGCTGCAGTCGGGTGTCGGAGAAAACCGAAATTCAACAGGAGGGCATACGTATAAATTCGGAACGAAGACTTTCATCAGAAATAACCGACCGCATCCAAGGGTGGCGGAATCATACTTATCTCAACGGAACCCTACTAGCGTGAATGCTCCAAGTGTCGAGGCGGGCCGGCCGGGCTGCCGCTAGCCGAGGCGCGGCGGCGCCGCCGCTCCGCCGCGGAGCGGGCCGGCGAGGCGGAACGGGCCGGTCGGCGACGCTGTCTGTACTATGTGAAGAGTGGTTCCGAGCGAGCCGAGCGGAGCGCGCGGCGGGCGGCAGTGCCGCGCGCCGGCGAGTGTCGGAGAGTCGCGGGAGGCCCCAAAGGCATCCCCCTCGCCGATCACCGCGACTCCGTCGCGCGCTCCGCGCTCCTCGCAGTCCACTCCTCCACCGAGGGGGTCGATCGCGGTTCCGCGAGCTGCTCGGAGTCCCCGAGTCAAGCCCGCCGAGCCCGGGCCCCCTCCCATCAGAGCCGTCCCGTCGCCCTTGGGCGATCGGACGGCCCGACGCTCCACGGAGCGGATCACAACGATGTCGCGGACGCGCGTCGAGACCCTCGGCCGACGGTCACCTCTCCGGAGGTGCCGCGGCTCCGGGCCTCCGCTGCGTCCCCCGCACTTCGGAGCGACAGGGCAGCCACCGAGCGCCGCACACCGCCGGCAGGTCCTCCGACCCGCCGCGCAGGGACTCTCGCCGAGCGCCGGCGTTCCGGGCGCCGACTCGCTCGGCGCCCAACGACCATCTCGCCGCACTGCGGCGAGGCAACGGAAATCGCACCACGGTGCGTGAGGAAACGGGGTCGGGTCGCCGCGCCTCGCTTGGGCGAGCCGTCCGCGGCGCCCGCCCCAGCGTCCGGGAAGGACCGATCGCTCGTGTCCCCGGGGCTCTGCTCGCGCGGAGCCCCTCAGCGGACGGCACAGCTCCGATCGCTGCTTCGCACTGTGAACGGTGGGCGCTCCCGGCCGGTCGCCGTCTCTCCGGGCCGCGCTATGCGCGCCCGGGCCGCACGGTCCGGCCCTGCGGAGCGCCGCTGCCCGCGCAGCTCCGACCCCGCCTCGGCGGGTGATCGGCGCCGCGGGACCCGCACTCGCCGGTCGGTGAGCCTGCGCGCTACGCGGAGGCTCCCGCGCCGCGCGGAAGCAAGCAATCTGGTTGATCCTGCCAGTAGTCATATGCTCGTCTCAAAGACTAAGCCATGCATGTCTCAGTGCAAGCCGAACTAAGGTGGAACCGCGAAAGGCTCATTAAATCAGTTGTCGTTCACAGGATC